AATTCTCTTTAATTGACATGCCAACAACCATCAAACCACGAAAAAACATGGCAGCTCATTAACAATTTTAAACAGAAAGCTTTCATTCCAAGCAAGGCGGGTGTGCCACTAACACGCAAGGGGTTACAGAGGATTGAGGAAGAAGAGTAAACAGGCGTTTTTCGGTAAAGAATACAGAGAAAGACGGGGAAGAAGATCAAGATATCATAAGATGTCGATTGATATTACACTTGAATATTTGAAGATTTTAGTTATCGGGGAAGCAAGTAAGATGAAGGGAGTTCCCAGGCGGGAAGAGCGAGAGAAGAAGCTGTTTGAGTAGAATATGTATTACATGTAACTGCTTCGACAATGAAAGTGTGTGACCGAAATGCCAACCTAGTAGCTCGCTTAAATTCATGCAGTCTGGGAACCAGCAAAAGTAGCTCGTCGGAACCGTTGCCGTGAAATTACATGTAGAAAAGACAGAGGGAAGTCACGGCACATCTGTCAGAAAGTGAATGTAGATGAGTTACCCGATCAGCACCTATCACATTGCATATCCCACTCTGGATTTTTCAAAATTTCAAAAGCGTTTAATTTTAAAGATGAAAGGTCTGCCTAAAAAGGATGTTATCAAAAATTGCTTTATCTCTTTGTTGTGGTGTATTCCCTCTAATGTTACTATTGTGGACTCTTCCACTTACTATAAAGTCAGTAGGGAAGTAAAGCCTCCGGGGAAAACAGTGATATAGACTGAACACTGGTCAACTGACAAACACTCCCAAGTCGTGTAACACATTTCTATTGTATTTACTGTTCAATACGCTATTTATTTGCAACATCTTGTTTTGTTATTTCTTAACCCATAACTTGGTCAGAACACTCCTGAAAGGTTTATTTATTTATTTTACTTTTTTTCTTTATTGCCTACTTGTAGAGAGCTAGTGGTTGTTTTGAAATCCTCACGTCTAATTTAAAAGAAATAAAAAAAATAAATCGAAATTTACCCCCCAAGGAAGTCAGTAAAGCCACTAAAATACATAGGGTTAATGGATCTGGATAAATTAGAAAACAGAAACATTACTAAGAACAGAGAACAGTAGAAGATTCCGGGGAGGTAGACAGGCCTTGAATCCGTTTATGCGGGTTCCAAGGGAATACTCGGTTTTGTTCCATATACATCCCTCGTGGGGTGTGGTGGAAGCTGTTAAATATTAACAGTGATATAAACTGTTCTTCCGAGGCTTTGACTGTTCGAAGCTGCTGTCGGACTCTCTGCCTTGGGCAGAATGTAACCCGGACGGGGCTGTACCGAGGGGCAGAGTTTCGTCTGGGCCAGTAGACAAACCCGAACCCATGTATGCAGGTTCTACAGGGATTTTTTGGTTGAGCTTACGGTCTCGGATGACCCACGTTAAACTCGGCCTTGTGCCACATATATCTCTCTTGGGGGGTGGCTGTTAAATTTTACCAGTGATAGACTGAACGTTGCGCAACCGATACAGACTCCCAAGTTGTGTAACATACTTCTGTTTTATTTACTGTTCTATACGCTATTTATCTGCAATCTCTTGTTTTGTTATTCCTTAACCAATTACTTGATCACAACATTATTTTATTGATAGTCGTAGTTTAAATGTACCAGCAATTTTTCCCATTCTGAATTACCAATTTTGAAAATAAACTTTTCTTTATTCCTACAACTACAAACCTAAAATGACTAGTGCTCCTCCAGCTAAGAGAAAACAAGAAGGCCGAGTGCTTGAATAAAAGTGGGAATTAAGTTATTTTTGCACAATGTTTTTTTTTTCCGCAAAATAGCTTAAATTCAAATATACGGAAGGGTTTGTCCGTCACGTGGTTTGCGTTGGTAGTAAAATAAACATTTTGACGATAAAATTCACCTTCCGACAAGTTTAAGGCCGTTTTTATCATGCTATGCCTACTTAAAAATAACGAGGTAAATCAGTTGTTCACATAAAGCTAAACTGTCACTTGTGATCTTCCGTCCTATAACTTTTCATCCCCTAAGATGAAATCACGTACATGTCACTTGTCAATCAACACCTCTGTTAAGACCGGCTTTTTATCATTTGAAAGAACATTTTTTTCAGCGCAGAAAGTAAGTAATGTTTGTTTCAAAATACATTAAATAAACTTCATAATTTCTAATTTTCTTAAATTAATTTAAAAAAAATCATAATTGAATTTTAAACGAATTTCAAACGGAGACTTTCACTTTTGTAAACAAAAGTTAAAGAAATGTTTGACGATCGATTTTCTGTCCATTTTGTTGATAAAAAAATACAAGATTTTTAACGAAAATTTTGGACGTGCTAGAAATTATTAAAAAATTGTAAAAAAAATAATCAAAAAATACTTTGATCTTTCCTCTTGATAATAACATAAACATTTAGACGATAACCAGTTCAATTTGCAACAACTCCATCGCCACTCCAAAAGAGTACAACCTGAAAAGACATTATGAAGCGAACCATCTATCTTACAATAAATATAGAGACCCAATACGCGTTCCAAAACGCAAGGAATTGAAGGCTAACTTGACACAGAAACAGAACTTTTTACGAAGATTCAGAAACAAAATGTGGCGTCTGTTACTGCAAGCTATGAACTAAGCCGGATGATATGAGTGTGAATACTTAGAGTGAAAAAGATTTCGTAAAGCAATGCCTTGTAAAAACAGCTGAAATTGTATGGTCTGTGACAGGGAATTTAATATCGACGAAGAACGCATTAAACTGGTCCCCACTGATGGCACTAAAACAAGCCAGGACGCTGTTGAGAGTTGAGCAGGTTCAGCATGAGTGATGTTTTGATTTGAGTAAACTTGCATCCTTAACTACTGACGGTGCTGCAGATATGGTTGACAAACATAAGTATGTTGCTGCTAAATTTGAAAGAAATCTCGCACGCAGATTCATCCGCACATTTTCGCTGTGTTATTCATCAGCAAAATTTGTGTTCAAAGATTTTAAATTTGGATCATGTGCTTAGCTTGGTCATCAAGACAATGAAATATATCAGAGGACGTGCTCTGAACCATCGCCAGTTCAGTCAGTTCTTGGAAGATATAGGTAATCAGTTTACTGATGTTCCATTCTACACAGAAGTCCGCTGGTTGTCATGTCACAAAGTGCTGAAAAGATTCTGATTTTTGAGAGAATAAATAATGATGTTTTTTGAAGATAAAGAATAAAAAAACAGATGAAATAAAAGATGAAAGTTACACCCAAGATCTGGCTTTTACTGCACAATTAACTGATCTTAATTTGAAAGTACCAGGTAAAAACAAACAGTTGTATGAGAATATCAAGTGCTTCATTACAAAATTAAGCTCATGGAAGTCACAGTTGTCTAATGAATATTTACGTGTAAAGCGATGAAAAACATTGCCAATACTGTAACTGTACTTAGCTTTGCTAAGTATGACAGTCACCTGGAATTTTTGTCACGGGAATTTTAGAAAAGAAGTAGTGATTTCTCATCTTTTAAACATCAGTTTCCATTATTTTCAGCACCATCCAACCTTCATGTTGCCAAGGGAGAAGAAAGCATGCAGATGGAGCTTTTAGAAATGTAGTCGGATTCTAAACTCAAAACAAAGTATATTAAACTAGGAATACCTGGGTGCTTATCCTATTTCCCTAAACAGTTTTAAAAACTTCAGATAGTTTGTCACAGATTATAGCAATGTTTAGTTCTACCTTTGTGTGTGAACAGTTATTATTCTTCATAAAATCAACAAAAAAATTCTTATAGAACAAGGTTAACTGATCAACATTTGTTATCGCTGATCGAAGTCGGAATTGCACAGATATTTCAACCAGACATACCAAAAACTGTCAGCAAAAAGAGATGTCAAACCTCAGTACACAAAACTAAAACTAACTGAATAGTGGAAAATAAATGTTCAGTTTTGAATTGCTGTCATTTTTGTACAATATTTTGTTGCTGTTGACATGTTTAAAATATTTTTTTATTAAACTCCTTCATTATTTTGTATACATGAATCCTACTGAAACATTTGCATGCACATTGTCAGTTTCTAAATTCAAGTAACAAAATATTCTGCATTAAACTTTATTAAATGATTCCAATTAGCTGTAATGTGCACAATTGGTTGTCGTGTGTGACCCTCATGATAACACATATGTGACCATGTGGACTTCATGGAACTTCATGGGACTCTCATTTTGACATGCCTATTGTAAGCAACTTCCTATAATCCGAGTTAAAATGAACCACAAAGGATTGTAAACACATACAAAGAACAAACCAATCCTTCAATCGACTTTCAAGTCGTAGGCGACCATGAGTCTTCGCAAATGCATTTTTGTGTCACTCGTGATACAAAAAATAAATTTGCGATGTCATGAAGAGATAGTGTGATGTGTTTTTTGTTTTGTTTTGTTTTTTGTTGTTGTTGGATAGACTTCTTCTGGCTTTTTTGTTATCGCTGATCAAAGTCGGAATTGCACAGATATTTCAACCAGACATACCAATAATTGTCAGCAAAAAGAGATGTCAAACCTCAGGACAAAAAAAAAAAAAAAACTAAACAGTGAAAAATAAATGTTCAGTTTTGAATTGTTGTCATTTTTGTACAATGTACTTTTTACTGTTGCAAATCTACAAGTATATGTCGTCTAAAATTTTATTTTTTATCAAATACTTCATTATTTTGTATAAAGAAATCCTGCTGAAACATTGCTCTGCACATTATGTGTTTGTAAATTTAAGTAAGCAAAATATTCCTGAATACATTTTATTAAATGACTCCAATTAGTTCGTCAAGACAACACATGTGACCATGAGTTGCACAGTTGGTTGTCATGACAACACATGTGTGACCATGAGGCCTTCAGGAGACCCTCACTTTGACATGCCTGTTATATATTGATGTCTTCTTGAATATCAGAATTTGATTAACAACATTTCCTACGATGACATTAATGTTTCCATATTTTATTCACATCATCATTAGAATTTAACAGTCCTCAACATGTAATACAAAGAAGAAAGCAGAGAAAGGAAAATGCATGAAAAGATTCAAATATTTTTGGAAAAAGAGAAAGAAGTTGAGAAAGAATGCCCGCGAAAAATGGATTGCTAAGAAAAAAAGAAAAAAAGGAAGAAAGAAAGAAAGAAAGAATTACTTGAAAAAGAATTGAAAGAAAAAATAAGTAAAAAAAAAATAAATGGAAAGAACGAAAATGGCTAACAGAGAAGAAAGATAGAGATATAAGAATTCCTGTAAAGAATAATCGCCTGGAAAGAAAGAAAGAAAGAAAGAAAGAAAGAAAGAAAGAACGAAAAAGAAAAATGCCTGAAAAAGAAGGACACATGACTGAAAATATAGAAAGGAAGAGAGAAAGAAAGAAAAATTGCCTGAAAAGAAGGACACATGACTGAAAATATAGAAAAAAAAGAAAGAAAGAAAAATTGCCTGAAAAGAAGGACACATGACTGAAAATATAGAAAGGAAGAGAGAAAGAAAGAAAAATTGCCTGAAAAGAAGGAGAAACACGAAAGAAAAATAAAGAAAGAATGACTGAAACAGAAAAAGAGAAAAAGTAAAAAATTGCCTGAAAAGAAGGACACATGAGAGAAAATATAGAAAGAAACAGAGAAAGAAAGAAAAATTGCCTGAAAAAAGGACACATGACTGAAAATATAGAAAGAAAGAGAGAAAGAAAGAAAAATTGCCTGAAAAGAAGGACACATGGCAGAAAATATAGAAAGGAAAAGAGAAAGAAAGAAAAATTGCCTGAAAAAGGGACTGAAAACAAAAGAAAGAAAGAAGAAAGAAAATTGCCTGAAAAGAATGAGAGAAAATATGCTGAAAAGAAAAATGAAAAAAACACATTTAAAAATTAGAATTTAAAGAAAGAAAGAAAAAAGAAAAGAAATGCCTAAAAAAAGAAAAAGAAAGGAAAATTTCAAAAAAATTCATGGTGAAAAATAGAAAGAAAATTCAAAGGAAGAAAAAAGAAAAGAAAAAAATGCAGAAAATTGAAATGAAGAAAAAAGAAAAATTGACTGAAAAAAAAATAGAGGAAATAAAGAATAAATAAAAGAATGAAAATGAATGAATGAAAAAGAAAAAAAAATTCTTTTGAAAGGGATTTGAAAGAAAGAAAAGAAATGAATTAAAGAAAAAATAAATGGAAAGCATGAAAAAAAAATTGACGAAGAAAGAAAGAAAAACAAAAATAAGCAAAAGTGAAAAATAAATAGATCCGAAAAGAAAGAAAATGAATGAAAGAAAAAAAAAGAAAGGGATTGAAAAGAAAGAATGAGAAAAAAAATAAAAGAAAAGAAAAAAGAAGAAAGAATTACAAAAAAAGTAAAGAAAGAAAAGAAAGAAAGAAAGAAAGAAAGAGAAAAAGAAAGAATGAGAAAAAGAAGGAAAGACAGAAAGAGAAAAAGAAAGAAAGAAAGAGAAAAAGAAAGAAAGAGAAAACGAAAGAAAGAGAAAACGAAAGAAAGAAAGAGTAAAAGAAAGAAAGAGAAAATGAAAGAAATAAAGAGAAAAGAAAGAGAAAAAGAAAGAAAGAAAGAGAAAAAAAGAAAGACAGACAAAAAGAAAGAAAGACAAAAAGAAAGAAAGACAAAAAGAAAGAAAGAAAGAAAGAAAGAAAAAAAAGAAAAAGAAAGAAAAGAAAAAGAAAGAAAGAAAGAAAGAAAGAGAAAAAGAAAGAAAGAAAGAGAGAAAAAGAAAGACAGACAAAAAGAAAGAAAGAAAGAGAAAAAGAAAGAAAGACAAAAAGAAAGAAAGAAAGAGAAAAAGAAAGAAAGACACAAAGTAAGAAAGAAAGAGAAAAAGAAAGAAAGAAAGAAAGACAGAAAAAAAGAAAGAGAAAAAGAAAGAAAGAAAAAGGAAAGAAAGAAAGAAAGAGAAAAAGAAAGAAAACAATTGGCTGAAAAAAAAACGAATAAGGTGAAAAAACGAAATAACTCAAGAATGAAAAAATGTTAGAAAGGAAGAATGAAAAAAGATGACGCCTGGAAATGTTGCTTGAACAGAAAGGAAGAAATAAAGCAAGAGATTTAACAACATCTAGAAATCCGTAATTAACATTAAAGCGACCTCTTTAAATCCTGGCGAAATGTTTGCTCTTTTACGCATCTCCTTCGATTCTAGAATGGCCGAATTGTTGGAGATTGATTTTATGAGTCATATGGATCGCATCAAATTACGATGCGTGCAATTTAGTGTTCTTTCTTGGAAGATCCAATGCCATCTCCCATAAGGAAACTTGGAGAATCCTACGCACGAAAACACATTAAAAAAACATAGAATATAATAAGCACAAACGTGACTCAGTTAGCCTTTCTGATGTTCAGAAATTAATATTCCAATCTTAAGAGTCAACATTCAAATTAAGGCCACAGCATCAAACGAAGATAATTATTTTGATTGGTTGAATATTTTCCTGGGTCGAAACGCAAGATATTCACTACCGCAGTATACTAATTTATAAACAGATAAAAAGC